CCGATGTGACAGGGTCGCAGATAAATCTTGCAGTAACAGTTAACACTGGTATGCATAAGATAAACAATATATGTGTGGTTCAATCCTTTTTGTGCAATGTTGCTCTGATTGGCTTTGGTCCTCCGAGAAGTTTGTCTGGAGCAGTAACAATCATGCTTAATAATGGAAAGGAAGGCAACGCAGTTAAGTTGCATATGAGCTTGGACAATGTTCCAATATAGAAAACCAATAAATAAACAACGCTACGAAATTAAAATTGGCTAAAGACTTGCATGATAAAAGCTATGTATGCAATCTGTGTCAAAATTGCCTAATGAAATGGTACGGCTTAAACTACCAGCATAATATGAACACTGAAATCGCCTGGTATAGGAGTGATGCAAACTGTTTATATAACCCTCCTTAAAATGAAATGTGCCTTATAGAAATTCATGAACGGACAGATAGCTAACTGCACCCCTAATAGTGAACTCAATAGGTGCATTTGGATGAAATGCATGCCTTATAGAATGCCTTCTTAGCTCAATTAGTAAAGCATTGTGTTTCCTAAGGACTTCCATCCTGATGTGTTGTCGATTCGCACTGATGCCACAAATTCTGCACAACCGGGTCAACTGAAAATCTCTATAATGCCAAGAAGTAGTTATCAAGTCATTCACACGAGATGATTTAAGAGTGCCTGTGTACCAAGTGCCACTTTCGAAGAGACACTTGAATACCTGCATTCAATCGTCAGCATCATACTTTGCCTGGCAGATGACTGATATTGCAACGCCGCTTAATTAATTTAGCCTGCTTGAAAATGCGTTAAAGTTATTATAATAATATTTTATGAGATCGGTCGCATTACAATAGGAAGGTACGGCGCTCCGGTAGAGATCCCTTTGAGAATTTGTAAAATGCAATCTATAATGCCCAAATGCTTATCCTCAGATTGCACATAAAATTTGCCTTAATACCGATCATTGTTGAAATTGGCACTGGTGCTCTAAACTGGACAGAAAAAATCTGATTTTAACGACATTTATGTGTCCTGTAACGAAAATCTCATCCAAGTTTTAGAAATTGAGACCAAGTGCGTGGCTTTTCCGATGGCAATTTGACCGTAAAGAGGTTATATTTGAAACCTGAAACTTGTACGAATTAGCGGAATATGTGGAGATTGAATTTCGCAACTTTATGCAAACGATGTTATATATTCCAAAGCGTTTTTAGATCTGCCGATATGCCAAATTTAAATAAAGCTTACTTTTGTTCACATAAAAACAGCAGGCAGGGTATCATTCGGTTTTCAATGTAGATTTTTCATTGATGTTGTTTTGTGAGCAAGTTTAATGTATGCTCCGTTACTGTCATTCAGTAGTGTGACTTCTGCATTACACTTAATGGAACGCAAAAAGCTCTAATATTTACAGGCCTTCGCATATTTTTTCTTAATCTCTAAGTAAATACAAGACTTTCCTTGCATACAAATATACAGTGTGTTGGAGGCAAAGCCTGAGTACAGGTGCTGAGCATGGTAGAAGTAAAATTCTTGACAACTAATTAATAAATGTTTTAAAATTAAAACGTAGCCAATTCTCCATGTCTGCACATATCGAAGGGCATATTCTGCGAAGCCGACGTAATAAAGACATATACACGGGCATGCTTATACGTGACCTTAGGCACCATTTTTGGGCAAGGCTGTAGAATAATTAAATAGCATGCAGCTTTAAGTCATGATTTTTAAATAGCTGTCTGTAATTATTTATTTTTTGGCTGTAGAAAAAAATGTTTGGTTAATGTTTATAAAGGCTGTATCTGATATCATTTGATCCATTAGAATTCAGTAAACCAAAGCTGCCAACGGCGATGGGTTAGTTTTCCTACGAGTTTTGCTTTTCTTACCAACCATATTGACATATTACGAGTGGTAGCGCAAATATTGTTCTTCATGTACCATACAAAATAGATATGAAGTTTTATTCTTTTCAACTTGATTAGAATAATATTTTAATGTGATTATTTGCACACCATCTAAGGAATATTTGCGTCGGTATATAGATCACGTCTACTTATTCCATTCATTTCTTTTGAATATGCGCTTGACTGCTTAGTAGAAAATTAAAAATAATGTAATACATCCATTGTAAGTTCAAATGAAAATCCCTTGATGGCTATCATTAACTGTTTATGAACATGTTTCCACTACATTGAACGATAGCACGAGACCTAGTGTGAGAGTAAAGTATTGCATATGAATACCTTAAAGCATACAGTTGCTGGGACTTACATAATTGGAATATAGTTTACATATGTACCAGGTGCCGACTTTTACAGACCGACGTGTAACAGATGCAAGTGGTGGCTACCAAGTCTCCTTCCTCAGCTGCCCTATTTAGTCAAATCCGCTGCTTTAAAATTGCCGATCCATGTTTTGGCCGTCGTGGTACTTGCTTAACTGATTTGCGGGCATGGTTATCATTCATACCTGTTCCGTGTCAAGGGACCAGGCGTATATCGAATTGACAAAAAACATAAACAAGTAATTGGTTTACTCGGGTAGCATTTGTTCCCTTGGGCACGCAAGATATAGTGTTCTGTATCAACCTGTGTGTAATCAGTGCATGTAAATCAAATAGAGGTAGTTACATATAGCTCGACTGTATGCATTTATCCTACCAAACCTTAGATTTATTTTCGGGTAGCAGCTCAACACGTAGCAGTTCGAGTTAAATGTAAAACATCTGGTCAGTGTTCCTGTTTCCCGGCGTTTTTATGAAGCATGGAGTTGGCGAAGATGCGAGTAAATTCTCACAATATTTAACTGCCGTGTCAATATCGCTGTTATTGATCATTCAAATTTCAACTTACTGTGACTGGCTTAGGACAGATTGCAATCAAAAATGAGGCAAATATTCGCATCTGAGTTAGGTGCATGGATGGGAAGGAGAAGGCGGGTCGATCAATTGCAGCATTATTTTATTCGTTTGGGCTTTGGACTCCGACGATAGACTCCAGTAATGGCACTAAAGCTCAGCCGAATAAAATTATTATTCTGGTGATTGACATGCCTTCTCTTCTTCTATATACATAGCTAAAAAAACTCTCTCGGAGTTTTATAATCACTATGATCATCGTCATATTGCTTCTTGTATTTTGTGTAGACTAAGTCTATAAGACTATATCATTTAAATGCACTTCTTTAATTTGCAATTTACGCTTTCGTTGTTTTGTTGACTGTGAAAAGTAAATATAATTTAAGTTTTAACATGTTACATCTGAATTCGTTATCAATGTTTTTATTTTATATAAGCCTGAAAAAACGGCAATTTTCGAGGCAAGTTGAAAATCGCGCTTTTGCATTACTCGTTATGTATTGTAAGGTTGTTATTATAGTTTGCATGTTTTCTTTACATTCACAGTGAACACAGTTAGTTAACTTAACACTAACTTGGTCCGTATCACACACCTTCATGCCCTGAAAATTAACATAACGCCACGACGACGGCCAAGGTCATAGGTCCTTGTATTTGCAGTGTTCAATAGCAAAAATGTGATTTGGTGAGGCAGCTTTATTAATGTTAGCATAGTTGGCAAAGGTTTGGAAGACAAGCACTGCCCTCTGGCCACTACCCTACGTGTAGATATAACATTCGCATAGCTACTGCTACGGATTGTTTAAGCAGTCTGATTTACAATAAATATGAAACTATAGAAAGTGTAAGTGGCTGCAATATTTGCTAGCCCGCTTATCCAGTATTGACACAGTTACCTACGATGGAACCTCTACTGTCTATAACACGACAAAAATAAAACCTGGATCTTCTTAGGGCGCTTCAGTGAATTGTACATCCTGTTAACTATGGCCTGATCAAATCGATGCAGTAAGGTCCTATATTTTGCCAAGCAGAACAAGATTGGTGACTTTTATTTACTTTGCTGACAAAGATGTATTCATCCGAGAACGTTGGCATTACGCCATGCATACTTTGGCTATGCTATACTACTAGCATACCAATACGTTTCAGCGTTGGGTACAACAACGTATGCAACTATGTAATTCATTTCGTTCTTAGTCCAGTCAGGAGGCTGGTTTTCGAACAAGTCGTCTAATCTGCCGCTTTTAATGTTAGCCATTTAATTAGTAAACACTTCCACTGATGGTTGTTAAACTTGAAAATCTAACTATATTTTGTAGACAAAGACAGGCATAAACTGTTTCACATGTTAAGTCAACATTTATTGCAGTGTCCTATAAACGCCATAAATCAAACCAATAATAGTTTAATGACGTGTCATTGGTTCTTTACCATAAAAATATAAGCCGTTTATTTCAAAATCTTTTAAGTGTAGGTAAGTATTGAATTATACTGAAAATGTGATTGCTCGTAAAGTCGTAGAGGTTTCGCGGAATATAAAATGCCTATAGGTTAGCCGTTTGTTATCACATGGGAACCAAAGAATAATGCATCATACATGTTATAGTTAAGGTCACGATTAACAAATAGGTCCTATTTTTAAAAAACTTCTAAATTCTCAGAAGAAGTATGTCAGCCTTAATACCAGGGTTCCTCTCCTATCATAATTTAAGCGTTAGGGTAACTTTTTAGCCAGCGGTTTACTGCAAAGGTTCGGTTCTTATGTGACGTCAGAATAGTAGATTTTTGGACGAAATTGTTTTTATCCCCGACGGACGTCCTATTACTATAAAAAGACAACGCATATCATTTCACAAAATGCATAATATAGAAGCGAACATTTTTGACCGAGCGATTTCTTTGATGCGACTGAGTGGTATCGCATTAAACAATTAGAATACATGGCTGACTAACTGTTTGGGATTATGTTGTACGATAAGCTATATGACAGATCCTCCAATATATATATTTCTAATAAGGGACACATTTTAAAGTTCGTGTTAGCGCTTCTTATAATACGTTATATATTCCTACGGCAATGCCAACATCCTCGAGACCCATATTTTTTCCCATTTTTAGCCACAAGAGGAACCTCCTATGAAGGTGTTGCTGCGCCTTATACAACTCATTCCCTTCATTCTTGTATCTATAACATCCTCGACGTCGACAACGTTTGTTTTCAACAGCGAGCAGTTCGCTAACTGGGTCATGAAAAACTTTTTAATTGCTGCGGATGCTTTTGACATTTTGGACTCTGTCGAACAGGTGCATGGCGCCTGGTGGGACGTTTCAACTGTGTGCCTCCACTTATGGATTGCCGGACTTCATTGTCTGTTCTTCAGCAATCTCTCCGGAGAAGGCAACATTGCTTCTTTTGAATCGGAACACTCATCAATATCTACTAATTCTGAGCATTCGGAACGGGAATCTGACGCTTCGTCGACCTCCTCAGAATTTTCAGGTTCCGCGGATGATACAGCCTCAAACTCTTACTATGAGTCGTCAGACTTTTCAGTTCCGGATACTGTAGTTCGACAAACAAACCAAAGCGCAGAGGAAACAGGCACCCTAGTCACTGTATCGGAAGACCGTCGCAGCAGGTTTATACAAGGTCTCCGGCGCGTAAGAAATTGGCTCTCAGAACACCTCGCTTGCCCCTCGGCAATCAGTAATTGGCTCAACTGTGTCGTCTTTGACGTTAAAATATGGGTACTTATAGCACCTATCATGCTTCAGGATGTTTATTTCCTCTGTTGGAGGTGCTATATTATGCACCATGGTTATCAAATGGACACTACAATTATATGTTTCATTACAAAAAATGCACTTTTGATCCCGCTGCACATTTTTTTGGCCTGGGTCCACCTACGAGGACAGTCTGATGAACCCTCGTCTGCTTCTCAAAGTAGCCCTGCTAACTCTCACTCAAGTGCTTAAAGTACAACTGTCGTGTCTCCGCATCCACCAAAACTTTTTCTTATCATGACATAATTTGCATATACTGTCAAAGATAGAGAAGGTGGCTTTCCCTTTCCGTTTTCATTTGCCTTTGCCCACTGCTCTTACTTATCTGTGGTGTTCTATGCATGGCAAACTTATTTTATAGGCGTCAATGTTAGTTTAAAGGCTGTGAATAATAAACGCCTATATATTATGTTTAATATCCATGTCTTGAATAACTCCTAGATGTCATCTGCGTGTTAGGTATTCACTTTCTGCTAAATACCTGAATTTTTGGAAGAGTCACCTGTACTAGCAATGACTGTCATAAAATATAATTTAGTAAATAGAACTAATCTATATTTCTGCCATTTTGGGAAGTAGGTCACTGGGTCGAATGTTTGGGTATTTTTTCTAAGGTTATGTTGTTCATTATATAAAGTTTATTGCAAAAGGCGGAGTACGAATAATAGCACATACAGTAGGTTACCTATCTGATGAAAGGTTGGTGATTGGGGAACTTAAAACACATTTGAGGTTGGTTATTTAGTTCATTTGGTTGCCTTGGGGCGCAAAATGATGTTTATTAGACTTCCATTCTGTTCAGATCAGTATACTGGGAGAAAAAAAAGACGAAAATGCATGAAATTCGGCGTTTGTTGATATCCGGGGAACTTCCTATGCTATAAGCCGCTGCGGAAAAGAGCTTCTTGTTAGTGCATGTTGGACTATAAAAGAACACTCATACGGAGCAGGAACTGTTTAGTTATATCTGTTCACAAAACGGAAATTTTGTTTTGCGTCCATGAAATTGAGGTTAGT